CCCAGTGGCGGCGCCACGGGGAGGACTGGGGAGGACACGTCCCCCCCCCCAGTTCTCTTCAAGGTCAATTTTCTAATTTGTCCAAATCCGGTGAGAAAAGTGGGGGGGAGGGGGTACGTTTTTGACATCAGTCTAGTTATTTAGATCTAACTTAATAAATCCAGTCTTTATTGTGTGAATAAAAACCGGTATTAAAAGATCATCGCTTTACTTTTGACAAAAGACCGTTTCATATATGCGGTATTAATTTACCATTAGCATATTGCAGGAACTGATTACGACCGCCGAAGGAAACCCTGCACCATAATGGGTTAATATATTATCAAAATTAAGTGCAATGTGTGATGCGGAAGTTTGGTCCTGCTGCTGAGATGTGAGGGAGATATGTAAATTAATGCACCGTTCGCACAACATATGGTCATTAGCTTCTTGGAACGCATGACTACACAACTGGAAGAGAAAAATGTTTGAAGGAAGAGATTCATCAAGTGAAGTTGTGTGTGAGGGAGGCAAATAAAACCTTCGTTTTCTAATCTGGGCGGTTAGACCTATCTTAGATTTTTCAATATCGGTGAGAAAGTTTACATTCCAAAAGAAATGGTACGAAGAGTACATATGACTGGAATATTCAATGAACCAACTGGAAGATTGCATACGAGCATCATATCAGCGAAGAGAAGGAAAGGAAAGAGTCTAGAGAAAGGGTTCAAAAGAAAGTTTCCACCTTGGATTTGCTTGCCCTCCTTGCTCGAAGTTTTCAACAAAGATGATTTGCACGACCGTTATCACCACTTGTTTGAGGTCGCTACCTTGCCTGTGACAGTGGCATCATGTGAGTGCACACACAGCAAGGTCAAAATAATAAACAATGATTTGCAAGTTGCTATGTCACCTGATAGACTCAAGGACCTTAAGGGTCCAGATTAGCAACGAACGAGATCTAGCCAACAATATTGAACTTAGCAAATTAGTGGAAATATTTAAGCTTGCGAAACCTTATAAGTTTCTCATGTGAACCGATCTACGATAACATAGATTAGCATTATTATTCTACCTAACAATTATTTCCATTTGCCTTTAAATATAAAATTATGTTGACTTCAATTTTCCTGGAAGTAGCAATTCTTTTAGGCAGCTGTCAATCAATGTAATCATAGTCAATAGAATAAGAAGGTTAAGGAACTCGATGCAGGAATAATAGACCTATCTATGCTTTTGTCTTGGTTTATGCAAAAAATGGTCGGTTACGTTCATCGTCATGTGTGTATTGTATTTTCGCTAGAGTAACCAATAGTTATTATGTTTTTGTTTAGCCATTGTGTAATATTACGACTGGGTAATTAAACCAGCACACTGCTATTGATAAAAAATAATACACACATGACAATGAATCGATCGTTCCTTGCATAAACCAGACAAAAACATAGATAATGAGATCTTTTACTGTATGTCTGCATCCAGTTCCCTAACCTTATTCTATTGGCTATGATGTAATACTACATTTGTAGGTCTTATTTTTACGTATAGTCATGAAAAAAATCGTGTGTTTTGTTTACTTTATAATCTTCGGAATTCTGAATAATCTTACCCTGAAAATGCAGGAAATCGTATTTCAGGGACTCTAGATTTCAAAAATTTTCCGGGGGGACATGCCCCCGGACCCCCCTAGAAGTGTCTCGCGCCTTCAACGCTCGAAAATCCCCCCCACTTTTAAAAGGCTGGCGCCGCCACTGCTGCCACCGCCATTCGTCCATTTCTCATATCCTCGTTTGTTAATCTTACTTTGCTCTCGTGTTCCTTCTTTCTCACCTTAAACAACCTCGACGTTTCTCCTACATATACCGCTTTCTTGCACTTGCATGGGATCTCGTAAACAACAGATTTTTGTTTTTCGCCAAGTGGTTGTTGAGCTCTCGCCTTCAATTCCTTTATTTTATTTCCTGGTTTAAATGTCGTCCGAAATGAATGTTTGGAAGCTAATCTTTTCAGTTGTTCCGATAAGCCCTGGATGTAAGGTACAATTATCATTCCTCGATACTCTTGCTCTTCCGACTCATTCCTTTCGCGTTTATCCTCTCGCATGTATTCTCGAACCTTCTGTCTTTCGAAACCATTTGCCACAAACACATCTTCTACGTTCTTTAGTTCTCCCTCTAGGTGTTTCTCATCACATAACGCTCGCGCTCTGTCTGCAAATCCTTTGATGATGCCTTTTTTCATACAAGGAGGATGATTCGATTTCGCTTTCACATTGATGTTGGTGTGTGTCTTCTTATAATGAACCATACACTCGACTTGTTTCGTTTTCCGGTCCACTTTTTGTTTCACATCCAGTACTGGCAACGTATCTTCTACTTGATTTTCTTTCGTGAATACAATGACGTCTGGTTTAATGCTATTCAGGTGTTCGAGTATTTCTTCGGATTGATCTTTCTTGCACTTCATTTCACTGTCGTCTACATACCAATACCATTGATCTAGGGGATATGGAGATGTTTGCATTGCACGAATTTGAAACTCTTCCATATAGATTATGGCGACCTCACCAGTTACTCCAAGACCGATTGGTCCACTTTCTAATACGTAATGCTTGCCGTCAAACTCACAATAAGACAAACCAAACATCCATTTCAATTTTTCCATTACCGACTGTACGGTTAAGTCAGTTATATTTACTAGGGTTTTACTTTCTCTTAACAACTTTTCAATCAATTTTAATGCCTCATCTATTGGAATCGATGGATATAAGTTCTTCACATCATAACTCACGAGTATCTCGTTTCTTTCAACACGCCAGTTTTTAACTTTTCCTTTCAATTCTCGCAAATTTTTTAGATAAAGTCCACTTCTTCCCTGAATTGTTCTCAGAATTGGAATGAGGAATCTCGACAGTTTTTCAAAAGGCGATCCTACCGTTGAGACCACACCTCACAATGGAACACCATCTTTGTGGATTTTTGGCAATCCTGATAACCTAGGGGCATGACAGTCCTTTGGTTTTAACCGTTCTGCATCCTCTTTTGAAATTTCTCCTCTTTCGACAATCGTTTCGATAACCCTTGTACCCTCTCGACAGACTTTATCAGTTAAATCCCAGTCCTTTTTTGCACTTATGGAAGGTTTTGCCTTCAGATCAACCAATACTTGTTTCATTTTGTATTCATAACTTTGTTCACCACCTTCACTTTCAAATCTGTCCATAGCTACCATTATCCGTCCTTTATCTGCCGGTAAGAATACTTTTCTTTTATCTTGTAGAGCCTTCTTTTTTCCATTTAACTCTTCTTTTGTCAAATTCGTTTTATACTTTTTGTGTCTAGCTTTCTCCAAAATAACTTTTACATTTTCACGTATCTCACCAATTTCATGTTCAACTATTTGTTCATCAATTTCATTAATCTCGCCTTCTCTCTTTATCTTTGTACACATTTTCTCTGTTTCTGCTATAATACGTTCATACAGAACTCTTGTGGGAGCTTCACAAAAACCTGGTCCCAGAGACAAGAGACAATTTGTTAGCCTGAGGATGGATAGTAAACTATCCGAAACGTAGCTAAAATAAAAGTATTATCAAAAACCTCTTGTGTGATCCTTGATTTAAATTAAAAACACAAAATTATTTAATATGAACAGAGGTGAAAGTTTCAGAAAAGCAAAAAAAAGATAATGTCGATAGCTTATTTTCTACATTTTATAATAGACTAAATAAACTAACGAATAAACATGCCCCATTTATAATTGTTTCAAAACGCAAAGCAAAACAATTCTCTAAACCTTGGATTACCAAAGGTATAAGAAAATCTATCAAAATAAAAAATTATTTTCAATCGGGTGATACAGATAAATTATACAGAAATAAAATACAAACTCTTACATGCATAAATAAAAAACTTTATTTTCACACATACTTTGAAAATAATATTAAAAATATGAGAAAAACTTGGAAAGGTATTAATAATCTGATAAATCACAAAAAAAGAAATCATAAGCAGATAACATCAATTAAGTGCCATAATTTAAAAGACACTACACAAAATACTTTTGAAATTTCTAATATTCTAAATAAGCATTTCTCAACAATTGGCCAAAAACTAGCCTCCAGTTTATCTAATTCTACAAACCATTTTAGTGATTATTTATCTACAAGTCATCATGCCCACTCTTTCTTTTTCAATCCTGTAACCTCACTCGAAGTGGAATATGAAATAGCATCAATGTCAATAAATAAAGCACCTGGACTATATTCATGTCCTACCTGCATATTAAAATGTGCAAAAGAAATCAAAACCCTTAGAAGAAATATTGAATTTATCTATTCTAAGTGGAATATACCCATCTAAAGTAAAACATGCTAAAATAATTCCTATTTTTAAAAATGATGATGAAACTGAACCAGGAAATTACCGACCAATTTCTTTGTTGTCTAATTTTAACAGAATATTCGAAAAATTAGTTTACAAGTAATGTTTACAACATGAGTGGCCGTGTTGTATCAGATATACAAACTCGAACCGAAGGCGAGAGTTTGTATATCTGATACAACACGGACGCGAATGTTGTAAACAACTTAAAAAACGACTCATCTTGTGAGATCATTGGCGAAGTAATTTCAAAAATAAACGTTGTCTAACCCGAGAAAATCAAAGCTAAAGTTTATGTAAATCAACATGAATCTGTATCACATATGTACAGATGCGACACGCTTATGATTTTTCTTTGTGTTTTCTTCATGAATTATTAATGAGTTTTTTGAGCAAATTAAGTCATTCTTTGAGGAAAACGATGTATTATTCAAATCTCAATTTGGTTTTTGTCAGAAACATTCAATTCAACACACTATTTTCGATACTGTGAATGATATTCAAGACAATATGGATAAAAAGATGTTTTCGTGTGGTATTCTCATTGATCTAAAAAAAGCTTTCAATACTGTTAATCACACTATACTATTGCAAAAATTAAATCATTATGGTATTAGAGGATCTATTAATAACTGGTTTAATTCAATTCATATCTAACAGGACGAACACAAACAACCCAAATTGGAATGGAAATCTCACAAAAAGAGGAAAACACCCATGGTGTGCCACAGGGCTCTGTCGTAGGACCGCAACTTTTCTTAATATACATAAATAATATTCATAGATGTTCCAATGTGTTCAAATTTTGCTTATTTGCTGATGATACTATATGCTGACAAAAAGTTAAAATCACTTGAGACAGTTGTTAATAGAGAATTGCTCAGCGTTTGTGAATGGTTATCGGCAAACAAATTATCACTGAATGCTAAAAAATCAAATTTTGTTATCTTCCACCCTTCTAATAAGAAACTTAATTATCAAGTTGATATTAAAATGCTTGATAGCAGTTCAAATGAACTAATTTCCATTGAACATAAAGAGATGTAAAATATTTAGCAATTTGGAGTCTTAATTGACGAGAATCTCACTTGGAAATACCACATAGATAACATTGCTTCAAAAATAAGGCAATTGGCATAATTTCACAATTGAGTCACTTTGTTCCTTCCTCTACTCTTCACAATATATATCATTCTCTTATTTTACCCTATATCACAAATTCAATAATCGTTTGGGGGCAAGCTACCCAAGCAAATCAGAACAAGATACTCTCCGACCTCAAAAGCATGCTTTGCATTTGATATATTTCAAAAGAAAGAGTGAGCATTCTATCCCTCTCTTTATTAGTTCAAAAGTTTTGCCACTAAATATGCTATATTACAGCACAGTTTCCAAGCTAATGTATGATATATCTAACAACACCACTCCAAGTACCATCTCTGGTCTTTTTACTTATTCAAAGGAAGTACACGCACATAACACTAGACCTTCTGTATCTTATAACTTTTATATAAAATACTCATGTCTGAATAAGAAAACCTTATCTAAACTACAAGCAAAAATATGGAATAGTATTTGCCCTGAGATACATAAACTAGGAAAAAACACTTTCAACAAAATAATTAAAAAGTCACTTCTGGACATATTGGAGACTGAGGATTGTTATGTTGATACACCTACAACAATTAAATTAATGACCAAACAATTGGCATCCACAAAAATATAATAACACATATTTATGTATACAGTATGTAGCTATATAACTAGTATGTAATTATTCTAGAGCAAGACTTGTTTCATATCATCTATGAAATAGGTTTTGCAACATTTTGAAATAATGGTATGCAATATTCCAGTGTATGGCATGCTTTGCAAACATGCATGTTGTGCACTGGAAATATGATCTACATTCATCTTTCGACTATGCTCTACCAATTCAAAAATTATTTCTTCTACGGTATCCGCCCAATTAGCATTTGCTATTTGCGGATTAAGTGTACATTATTATTGTATTATAGTGAAAAATGAATGAATGAATGACTTTGCTCAAGTTAAGCCCCTATTTTCTAGAGGCCTTAACTCAAAGTACCTAACTCCAGTCATGTACGGAAAGGGGTGTGACATGGGCGTGGTCGGGGCTTAACTTGAAGATTTGCTACCACGACCATCTTGTGTTCTTCCATGTTGTTTATCATTAATTATCAATTTCGCCTAACTCGGCCCAGTCTGCTGTGGAATGGGCTATTCCAATTATTATCCACCCCCCCCCCCCCTGTTGAGGAACCTTGGAATTTCCAGGGGGGGGGGGGAATACATTAACCCTGGATTTCCAGGGGAGGGGGTGTATTAACCTTGGAATTTCCAGGGAAGGGGGGGCATTCAGGCTCTGGATTTCCAAGGGGAGGAGTAATTCTCACATGGAATTTCCAAAGGGAGGGGTAAATTTGATGGATGGAAATTCCATGGGAGGAAATATGTTAGAGGGAAATTTCCGGGAGTAAATGTCCCATGATGGAAATTCCATAGGGAGGGGTAATTTACACATGGAAATTCCATGGACAGGGCCAAATTTTAAATGGAAATTCCATGGGGAAGGCCTAATTTAGAATGGAAATTCCATGGGGAAGGCCTAATTTAGAATGGAAATTCCATGGGGAAGGGTAATTTTTACAAGGAATTTCCATGGGAAGTGGTAAATTTTACATGAAAATTGCGGAAATTTCAGGGGAGTACCGACATGAGAAAGGGGTTCCTCAACAGGGGGGGTGCGGATAATAATTGGAATAGCCCAATGTAATTTTTTTCCGTACCTATAGTACTAAGATTTTGGTACCCCCCTAGAGGTTCTGTTGGGTTTTTTTTCGTACCCCCCTCAGAGGTTCTGGGGTTTTTTTCGTACCCCCCTAAAATAACCTCCACACCCCCTAGTAAATACTTTATGACCGGTCCCTTATATGAGAAAATTTCATCCTGCTTGCCGGGACAATTTTGTTACATTGATGTTGTTTTGACAGTTGTTAAAAATAGCTTGCGGCGGTATCTTTGAACTTTCATCCAGGCTAGCCCGCTTGCGAGTGTTTATATGGAGAAATTTCCATCCCGGTAAGCGAGATCTCGGCTAGTCGGCTGCTCGGCAACCGGGCCAGCCCGCTTGTCCATATAAACGCACGATAATTTTTACTATAATAATAACTACACGGCGAGATCTCGCTTACCGGACTGTCTCGCTAAGCGGGCCAGCCCGGCTTCCATATAAACAGGCTGATTATATTTTGATAAGTCGCATAATTTTGAAAATGGGTGTAATGTGTAGTTTTATACGTTTTTTTTTTCACAGTCTGCATTTTATACCAAGTCTGCAATTTCAGTCTGCAATTTATAATGCATTTTTTACTTGGTCTGCAGTCTGCGGTCTACAGAATATACTGACCGGATTAGAATCCACCTTTGGCTTTGTGCCATTTTTAGCGAGAATACTCATTTGCAATAAGTTGCGATACTGTCACTTTGGCTTGCAAACATGTGGGGATATAGGCTGTGACTTTATATTTTCTCTCATATATGACACAGTCACAGTATTGCAAAAGCAAAACAATACTTAATCTTTAATAAGACAACGTTTAAACTAAACAATCATGATCTGCAAAATATACTATTTATAACATGAAAAGCTTTTGTTTGTTAATCAGTTTAATATAGCAAAATGTTTCGCACACGTGTTGCCGGTTTGGCTTGCATTTCCAGTTCATGCATGAAAGTTAGTAAAAATATACACTTAGCACAATGCTTATTTTAATCACTCTCGCACATCTCCTCGACAAAGTAATCGTTTTTTATATCATTGGCAATTTTCTCTACATCCTCTTCGTCAATAGTTTCATCAACATCAGCGGTTAAGTCTGTACACGGCATTTCGTTTGACAACGTCATGCTCTTGGCTTTGTCTACGACTTGGAGACACTTAAGAAGAGCAGCTTGTTGTTGCTTCGATTTTGTAAAATGTTTGTCGAAAGCCATTTCCAGTTCCTCCAGTTTACGTGACCACTTTGTTTTTTCGCTTTTGTTGCTAACATCAAAATCCTTTTTTTTGGCATGTATGTCCTCAATTTTTTGGTAGCAAGTTTTTAGCTCAAACTCGGCTTTACATAACTCTTCATAATTTTTGGCCAATTCCATTTCCCGACATACGAACTTTGACTTAGTGTTTGCCTTTGACGAGGTCTGACTCTGACTTACTGATAATTCCATATCTTTTTCTCCAAGAAACCGGATCGCTTTGTCATACATTACTTTGAGTAGGTCCGATTTTTTGTGTACCCATTCTACGTCAATTATTCCATATACCTCGTGTTTTGTACGTCTCTGTTCGTGTAGATCTCGTGCGAAGTCCTGGATACGTTTATTCCAGTAGGTTCGTTTTTCACGCTCGATGCCTTCTGACAACTGAATTTCCTCTGCTGAGTAAGGGCAAGGCACAGCAGATCCATCTTTGCATGTTAGTTTATCAGTTAATCTTAGATACAAGAACTTTGCTTTTGCGTCTTTACCGTTTTCTACAACACGACATAGCGCAACAAACTCTTCTTGTTTGTTCGAAATTGGTGCGTGTTTTTTCAAAAACACGAAATTCGACCCGACAAGTTCTTCAATCTTCTCGGCGCCTAATAAAAGATTTCTTATGCCTGACAGCTTAGTAGACGTGTTTATATTTAATAACTCTGATATTAATGCTCCAGTCTCTGTGAAAACGTCCAATCGTTCAATTATTTCCGGCACTGCCATCTTTTCAGAACCCAGAAGCTCTGCAGGATTTGACTTTATAGTAATATAGTATAGTATAGAATATTTTAATAATACTCATGGCAATGTCGCGCATTAGAATGGCTTCCAATTAGAAAGCCAATCAGTACAAGTCAATGACAGTGTACATGTCACATGCAGTCATATGTCATTACATGCATACATACAATATAAATTCTCGAGGGTCATACAGTATGGTCGAGGGTCGAGGTCGAACGTCAAAAGTCGAGGTCGAGGTTCAAAAGTCAAGGGTTGAAAATGGAAAATATTATTTTTTATTAATACATTTCTAGAATACTACATTTTTCGCATTTGTTATTCTGTTGTCAAAATTTTAAAGGTTTTCCTGATAAATAATAGCCTGAAACAGCCGCATATTTCTGTCACCACCCCGAAATATGCATATTCCGGGGTGGTGACAGAAATATGCGGCTGTTTCAGGCTAATGTATACTTTCAAACATCAAATCTCACATCGCCATCGGACTTTTAGTCCCACAAGCGAAACTTTCAGTATATATATAGGTTATAGCCATAGGCGAAATTTTTCAGTTTTAATTGTTTTCCCGAGTATAGAAGCTTTCAAAATGTAAAACTTTTAAAATGGATAAAAATTTAGTATTTCGACCCTCGATCTCGACTTTTTGACCCTCGACGTATGACCCTCGACACACGGACACTCGACAATTAGTAATGGGCGATACCACCAGTATCGGTTTCGATACGATACCAATTACTTTTTGGTTAAAGTATCGAGGTATCGATTACCCAAACGATTACTTCCTCCGATTTTCAAAAAGTTACATATTTTTAACAGTAACGATTTGATCCGCCATTTCAATCGATAAAAGATAAAAAATACTTTATTTCCCGCCTTTTTCATAATTTATTCTGTTGGCGAGAATAGAATGTCAAATAAAGTATAAAGGAAGTTTGATTAAATTGATAAATGCAGCAAAATACCAAAAAGTAGACAAATTTTATTAGAAATAACCATGAAAACGATGACACAACTACAAGATTATAATGAATGTCTAATTTTAAAAGTAATCGAAACACTTTTTCGATACCGTGCAGTATCGACTACTTCCTGTTTGGGCCTGGTATCGGGTGGTATCGATACCAAGTAATCGGTAATCGCCCATCACTATCGACAATTACTCGAACTCTTAGTGCCTGTTCATATGATCCCGCTTGCCGGGACGTCTCGCTTACCGAGATGAATATTTCCGTGCGTTCATATGGAGTATTTCGTCCCGCTTGCCGAGATGAAATTACAATGTAGTTCTATAATTAGCGTATGCAAAACTTCTACATTTCAGTCAAGCAACACAAATACTTGGCGATTTTAGTGTGTTTCTTCGTTTATTTACAAGAAAAAGTATTGCTTCAGGTGGTTATTTAATACTTGTTTACAAAACAAACATAAAACCAAGTAAAAAGTGTTAAATTAAACCGGCAAGACTTGTTTCACTTCATCCCGGTAAGCGGGCTGGCGTGTTCATATGGAAAAATTTTCATCCCGCCTACCTATGATCTCGGCAAATTCAAACGAGATCTCGCCAAGCGGGCCAGCTCGCTTTCCCATATGAACACAATGCAAAATTTTATAGGAAAATAGATAGGCGGCGAGATCATCGGTAAGCGAGACGTCCCGGTAAGCGAGACGTCCCGGTAAGCGGGATCATATGAACAGGCCCTTAGTCAATATTCACTATCGTTCCTAAAGTTGCAGGAAAACGACTTTTCTTAACCTCTTTTACATCATATTTATTAATGGCTGTCCCACAAGAGTATGAGATAATAAGAGACTTAGATACGGTGCGTGAGGCAATAATTGCTGAAAACAGAGGAATTTTATTGTTTCTCGTGAATAAATATCGCCAATATTTACCACGCGAAATATATAAAACAGAACATATACCATCAAGCAGGGTAGATCAACTATCTTGCTGTCTTGTTCCACAAGACATATCTCCAAATCTCGTGCCTCTTAAAAGCACAGGAAACGGGAACTGCTTGTTCAACTCCGCATCTATTTTACTGATTGGAAACGAAAGTTTGCATGGTGTCCTTCGTCTTTTGACAGCTGCTGAGATTTTTCTTCACTACACTTTTTACGCAAGTCATCCAAGGTAAGTTGTGATCGAGGTTGTAGTACGGATCCAAAGCTTTGAAAATTATAATATAAATAAACCTATATTTATAATATTACAAACTATGTACCAAAACCCTTTCAATTTTTAGTCCTTTCCGTGAGAGGTTGACCTATGTATAAACTGAGTTTGTAGTTAACACAACGAAGTTGACAGCATTACAATTCTAGTATTTGCCGTAGGTTTATTTATTATCTTTTATACTGTATAATCGCCTTCTAAAGTTATTAAGACCGTGTGTCTCTAAAAACCGCCCACTGACTTGAGGCTCGAAAAATAAATTTCTTCGAAACTTTTACCGTGAACTACATTTACTTTAACAACAAACAAATGCTGTTTGGAATTTTGAAAATATATTTAGTTTCAAAGTTTTAGCGATTTTTTGGTCTCGCACCATCGCGGGAGAAATTCGCCGGCTAATTAAACGAAAAAATGGGCTGAATTTAAATAAACATAATTTCAAAAGTTTTTGTTCAAAATTTCTGATATTCACACCCAGCACCGGAAAACTATCGTAATTTCATCTAAACTAACTTAGGTTTTCAATTACAGAGCATTTGTGACAATATTTAGCGACAAAGAGCGCCATGTCAAAATACGGCTTTCAAATCCTACTATTTTCTACATTGAATTTCTTAAAAGTGGGACCTAATTACATACAGTGACTAGTATGGTTGGAAAAAGGACACTTTTAAGTACTAAAAACCGTAATAAAACTCGTCTGCAAACGCGATTTGAACAATTGAGAGCGTTTGAAATTTGATACTATTTATGGCCTTTTGTTTACATTAGAATGTTGCTGAGGTCAGACGTCTGAGTTCATGTCACTGCTAAAAATGCGCTGTAGTTCTGCCAAATAACCTTTCCCTCAAATAAGTTTATAGCACTATTGTACTAATCTATATTTCTTTGTTTATGTCCACCGTAAGTCGTTCCAAGGGATTTAAAATAATAGGCATGTTAAAAACTTAAAATAAACAACTTGACCAAATCATAGTTAATATAACCAAATTAATAATTATGCTACCCGGGGAAAAGCCCGCATGCAGCGCGAATTCTATATGTGGCACATGCTATATTTAGAGTTTGCGTTGCAGCATACTAAACTATTGCTTAGTTCGAAAAGTCTATAAATGTGCGAAGTTTAGTTCTGGAACCTTTCTGCGAAGTTGATCTTTGAATTATATTGCTGCAAAATTTGAGAGTTAGTATGGATAATCTGTGTTCTTTTAATGCTATCGGTTCAACTGTATGCGGAGGGTGTCGGGGTGAATCGGGTATTAGACGCTTAGAAGATTGTGATGAGAACATTCAAAACCATCTTTCAAGTTGCCGTTTGTCGAGATCTGGTTTTAGCGAGCGCGAGCTGATTTTGAGAAGAGCGGAATTTTTACATGAAATATCAAGGGAAGAAATACGCTCTATGACAGTATGCCCAAACCACCGGTACAACTTGGGCCGATACTGGAGACCTCGTCTAACATGCCAACATCCTTCTCACACTGCGCCTGCACGTCGCTGCAAAGGAAAAGATGTCATTAACCTGGAAGTATCACGGGATGTATTCCAAATTTATGGAGTACTTGCGCAAGTTGGTTCTCGTAAGTGATAAATATAGTCCAAATTAGAGATATATAATCGCATTGTTAATTTGTTATAGGCAATATAATTAGAGTTGCACCGCGAATAGGCCAGTGCGGCATTCGCATGGTAACATTGGAAATTAGAGGTATACTGTAGTATCACAGCGACATGCTGATAATTAGCTTTTATTTTACTCGGGCTAGCAAATGTAGAGTTTTTGAGGACCGAGTTATAAAATGGGTTCGCATATCCCTGTCATGTCGCAAGTTTGCAAAAAACACGCGTGGGTGTCACTCATGCCACGTACACTGAAAGATGATCTCGCTGTGAATGTAGTTGTGGTATTTGGCAACTATAAACGCAACTTCCTATAAGTTGTTCCTTTTCGTGTTGAAAGGTGGGCTTAATTTGGCTATCACGTACTTGAATTTTAAATCTCAATATTACGCAAATTTGACTAGTTTTTGCAAGTAGTGCTTTGTAAAGCCGAGCGCACGTGATGTTGTAGAGGGCCGACTGCAACGTTTGCGGTAAAACTCAGGCAAAATAGCGGATCAAAACAATCTGATCTTATCCGACTACTATCAACTAAGAAAAATCGCTGAAAATGACAGAAAAACGTCAGGTATTTGTTAAATAACTGATGTCCTTGTGTGCGTCCGACTTAACATGCACCTACTCTAAAAATGCATTGCAGAAAATTGTCTCATTTAACTTCGCCTTTACTCAGTGCTACGTTTTAAAAAAAACACACTTAAATTAAAACGCGCTAAGTGCCAATTTCAGTGTATGATAGGATGCTAAAAGTATACTTTGTGTTTCAATGTTTGCATGACATTGACTGGTTGTACAGTACATAATAATCGAAATAGACCTTTCCCGTAATTACGTCACAACTGCATGGAAGTGAGGCTGAGGGGCCAAAGCAAACGCGTAAAGGCATACGCTTTGGCCCCTCAGCCTCACTTCCATGCAGTTGTGACGTAATTACCGGAAAGGTAATAGTTTAATACAAAACAAAAGCTTTTGTTGGGTTTTCCCCGGGCGACATTTTTTGCAAGTGTTTACCGTGATTCAATTTTATATGTTTAATATCATCTATTTAAATATCTTGTAAGATAAACAACGAAATCTAATTTAGTACTATGACATTATCGATTTGTTTTGAGAGAAGGGCAATGAGAAAATGTTATTTGGCAGAACTACAGCGCATTTTTAGCAGTGACATGAACTCAGACGTCTGACCTCAGCAACATTCTAATGTAAACAAAAGGCCATAAATAGTATCAAATTTCAAACGCTCTCAATTGTTCAAATCGCGTTTGCAGACGAGTTTTATTACGGTTTTTAGTACTTCAAAGTGTCCTTTTTCCAACCATACTAGTCACTGTATGTAATTAGGTCCCACTTTTAAGAAATTCAACGTAGAAAATAGTAGGATTTGAAAGCCGTATTTTGACATGGCGCTCTTTGTCGCTAAATATTGTCACAAATGCTCTGTAATTGAAAACCTAAGTTAGTTTAGATGAAATTACGATAGTTTTCCGGTGCTGGGTGTGAATATCAGAAATTTTGAACAAAAACTTTTGAAATTATGTTTATTTAAATTCAGCCCATTTTTTCGTTTAATTAGCCGGCGAATTTCTCCCGCGACGGTGCGAGACCAAAAAATCGCTAAAACTTTGAAACTAAGTCATAAACAGGAAAATATACATCCATTAATAACGTGCTTTGATTAAAGCTGGGTTACAGTCCATTCTGCGCATGTGCGTGCTTTGTTTACATCTTTTGTTTTGGTTTGGATCCACTTCAATTGTATAATATGAAGTATACAGCTATGCACTAAACAAATTATAAATGAAGGAACCAGGAGTGAAGTTAATTTTTTTTAAAATTGTCTTCTGAAAGACAAGCAATTAAATATTTTAACAGACCACCAATGGAAGATATGTTGCTGATTAATTCGACATTTTTCTTTCGTGTATTTCGTTAATGAATATCCAGAAGAGGCCGACACAGCAAAGGTGCCGGGTGCGAGTTCGCAACCCATTGTACGTATTCTGAATATAATGTTCGGCATTGTAAAATAAACTTTGGAAGTGCCAAAGTAAACATGAACCTTTCCTTGGGTTATTTGTTCGTCGAAACACATTGTCAGAGTCATTGTTGCTGTCATGGCAGATCGAAGCACTCGGAGAAATTAAGCTTTTCGCTGGAAGATATGTGTAGACGATATGTTCATGTCGCGGCTTCTGTTTTCGATAGAGCCTGCAAAAGTATGGGTAGTTTTTGCTCAAGCGCGTGCCACGAATAGGATTTTGATACATGTATGAACAATCGAAGGGTTCAAGAACGTGACAGTGACCAGACGGTGAGTTTGTATTATTGCTATTATGTACTGACACTGTTCATTATACTGTTCGTTATAAATGTGATTCACACATGTACATGTAATCTTATTATTTTCGCTCATTGTATTTTATACATGTTTCGTTGTTATGTTAGGGGCACTTTGCCTTCGGTCATCACTTCCAATACCAATCCCCATACCTAAAGAAGACTTACAATTAATTTTATTCCTGTTTAAATGCACATTAGTGCCTGCTGAGCAATGTGTTTTAAAAGCACTTAATCAAGCCAAATTTTACTTTAGTCTTGCTGAACATATACTTGCTGAACATTTCTGCATAGCTGGCAATGGCTCATGGCTGCATTGTTTCATATGTCTGCTGATCCGTCTGGGTTTCCACAGCGCTATAAGTGCACAATAAAGTTTTGTAATGACGAAATATAACAATAATACAATATTAACATAATTGAAATATCCAAGGATACGGTATCTGTTATGTACTTACCACAATAAACAATTAAATCTGTCTTGATGTTTCGTATACAAGCTTGATCAGCAGAGTATTCCACCGACCAATACTACAATTTCGATGCATACCTTTTCGCGAAATATTCTTTTCGATCTCCTGGTTAGTTCTGGCGACCAGAAATGCATTAGAAGGATTTGCCTTTGATACTCTCAAGTAGATGGTCGCGAGTCGCCATTGTCAACTTTGCTATAGCGTGTTGAAATTGATATTTGATATGCATTTCCATTTGTAACAAGAGCTTACTTATCCAATGACTGGGGGGAATTCATATTATTTTGTATAATTTAATTTTGCCAATCCGACACCACAAAATACTTTCACGTTTAGTTTCACCGAGAAAGATACACAAGCGGCTTCATACACATCGGTTTCTATTTGATTTTGAAACAATTGCACAACGCAATAACTTATATTCGTAAAAACACACTTTATATACATCTTTTTAGATGTACAGTTTCTTTTTTGACCGTATTTCTTGCTTTGATGTGAATATATAAGCGAGTTAAAAACAATTAG